CACAGTGGGGCATTGTGTGCAAAATTTTGCATTGTAATGTGTATTGTTTAAAAGTCACTAAAATTGTAAATAGTTACACACTTGAGTATATGGGTATGGTTAAATTGCTTTTCTAAAAATTCTGCAATCTCTTGTAAATAACAGTAAAGTGAAGAGTAGTTATGGTGCTGGGAAAATGTAGCATTTCTAGTAGTCTTGTTTACCGCCTTCAGACTTAAGCAATATACTTTTTACTAGCCGTATCCTGAGGGACACGGCTAGCTTTTGTGAGACTTCGTCTGGAGGTGGGGGTGTTATGGGGCTATAGGACCCAACATGTATTTATAAGTAACAGTTACTCTGGAATACCTAATTATATTGAATTGATGGGGACTTTGCTCTAAATGTCAGAAGGACTGATCAACCTTATGACTGAGGCAGCTGGGTCAAGCCTATTTTTCTCAATATAATAGGTTATACTATAGACACAAACACACAATGCAAATAAGTAGTTTATAAAGTTGTATTTCCTTTTGTAAAAGTAAAATTAAGGTGTGGTAGAATTGTGGTAACTGGAGAATTGTGCTTGGCAACAGTCTTTTGTTTTGGTGGGAGGAGCTTAGCCTCTTTCTCTCTCTCCCTCGCACTGACTCGCTCTCTCGGTGGCTGGCCTTCAACCTGGCAGGATCTCTGGGTCCTTCTTCTATCTTTTGGGGCATTATGTGTGCTCCAGGGGTGAGTTTTTTATAATTTAAGTTGTGACCACCATACCCAGGGTGACTAAAGTGTGTCAAAACACTGGTTAGCCCAGAGTTATGTCAAGGAGAGAGAGGACTAAAGTTGTTGAGATATACCATGTGGGAGAACAGCTATGCAGTGTGTAGATCGTGGTTTTGAAAATTTTGGGGCTGAAATTGTATTTTCTGTACATATCTTTTGGGAAATCGTTATATTTTTTTGTAGTGTTTACAAAACCTGTGAAGGAGGGCGGTTTAAAAGGGGTTCAGAGACATCAGGTGATCAGCCTGATGAAAAGTATTCCCCCTAGACAAAAAAGACCTTTAAGTAAAAGCTACCCCACCTAGAAACATGTGTGAAACCTTAATATCAAACGTATTCCCATTTTGAATTGATTCCCCATAATTTAATCCATTTACTTTTACTTTTACATTTAATCCCCATTTATTCTTTTCAACCCCCATTATAAATTTTTAAAAACCCCCATGGTGACTTACACACCTGTTAAGACCTACTTTTCCCGGGAAGTAGTTCCCTCTCTTCTACACACCCAAACCCTGGCCTCACTTCCTCAAAAGCTCTTTACACTTTGTAATTTTACCACCTATTCCATATATTTTGAAACACTGCCACATTGTCCTCTACCCACTATCATATCCTTTTCTAAAAATCCATAAATGCAAAAAAAATTTCCCCCTCCCTTTTATCTAAATATTTTCACAATATGTTCAATGTAAACACTTGTTAAACACCCCTCCCCCACTCTGAACCCTCCTGCTCTCCGCAATCCTCTTTGGTTTACCTTAATTCTTTCAATTATAATCCTCCGTATACTTTCCTGGTTACTGGGAAAATTTTCCTCTATTTTTTTTACAATCTCTTTTGTCCCCTTCCCCCCTTTTAAAAAAGGGATTTTCTGCTCTTTCCCAATCCCAAACCCTTCCCCCTTTTCATTTTTTAAAACAAAAGTCCCCAAATCACCCAACCCACCCCCCCCCTTTTAACATTTCTGTCATGATCCCATCATTTCCCAGCTGTTTTTTCCCCCTTTCATTTACGAAATGCCTCACCCCTCCACCCCCTTACACTTTCTTCTTCACTCCAAAAAGATGGTAACCCCCCTGGCCAGTGCATGAAATTCGCCCCCTTTCTTCAACATTTAAAAGTTCCTCAAAATATTTCGCCATCTACCTAATACCCCCCTCCCCCCATCTAAACTCCCCTACTGTTTTTTTTTGAAAATCCATCTTTCTCTTGGTTCTTAATTGTTTTAAATCCCTCCAAATTTTTTATTTTCATTAAAATTTCTTGACATGCCCTCCCATCTATCATTGCTCTCCTTTTTCACTTTCTCACCCCTCTTCACCCCTTTTTTTACTCTCCTTACCTGCTCTTCTTATAAAAACTTCTGCTTTGTAAAAAACCCCTTTATAGCACCTTTTTTCTCTATAACCTTTACTTCATCATTCCCCCAATACTCCTCTTTTCCTCCTGCCCCCACCCTCCCAAACCCCAAATTCTGCCCCCCCAATTCTAATACTGCATTTTTAAAAAAATATTCCAACCCTCCTTCAACCCCCCCCCCCCTAATCTTTGCATACCCACCTTTTTGCCACATAATTTGGGTTCTTGTAAACAAAAGGGGGAAATGGAAAAGCAAAACGAAGCTCACCCCCCGTTACCGAGGCTGTGGATATTCACTTAAATAAACCATGATTTTTGAAGGAAAGATACAAGAAATCTGAAGGCAGAGGTATCTCAGACTAGTAGGGGTTTGGGAAAAGTCCACATGAGAGGCATCAGAAAACTTTGGCAGCGAAGGATCGAGACACTAAATGAAATGAAAAGTGAAGGGAACGGAGGTGGGTCGGTCCTCAAAGGTCTAAGCTCTTAATATATTTGAGATAGCTTCAAGTGTTTTTAGGGACAAGGACGTATTTGGTAAATACTGGGATGGAAGAAAGGGGGCGATCAATATCGGGGGTGACTATGGGTGTACAAAAATAGGGGGGGTCGAAAGGGTAGAGGGAACTGGAGAGGAAGTGACCTGGGAGAGGGCAGATGAAGAAACTTGGGAGGGGATAGGGAAAGAAGGTACTGTACGAGGAGGATGAACCTCCAAACTCTCTAACAGAGCCAGTTAAAGGTGAAGAACCAGGTACAGACTGAGAAGAAAAAATGTGCAGGTTGCAGAAGGGAAGGAGGGGCTAAATGAGATTTTAACAATGGGGATGTTTTGTGCTTCGGAGAAGGAAAGGGGCAATGGGGAGTAGGTGTTGTATGAGGTCTTTTAGACAAACTTGTGAGTGAGAAGAGGAAGAGGCAAGAACAGAAAGAGGTACCAAGGTAGGGGCCTCAGTCCAGGACAGCAAAAGAGGAGACAGGGGTGACTGTGGAAGGGGTGGCCACAGAGGCTGTGGCAATTGGGACCCCACAGGTGGGGGATATGCTTAGTAACTCGAGAATAAGAAATATGGGGGAAGTCTCCCTTGGAGGCGTTGATGAGACTGCCATAGCATATGGGAGGCCTTCTGCCTCAGACAACAGATTTCTTGCTCATTTAAGTAAACTTGGCAATGGCGGGAGTAAGATGGGAGAGCCTCATGACAATTAAGGCAAGAGGGAGATAGACTACAAGACACATTGGAATTGTCATCAGCACCACAGACTGGGCATTCGACCACAGACCGGATGACCAAAATGCCAGCAATTTCTACACTAGTTGTAAGGAGAGAAAGATTATGAACTTGGCTAGCATTCTGGAAAGTGATGATGCACCACTGTGGAATGCCTTCTGCTTGAGGAAAATCTGGAGAAATCTGCCATTGATATAAACATTCCTCTGCCATGAAGGCCATAAGAAAGTGGAGTTTGCCTTGTATACCAAAAAAAAAAAAAATATGGAACAGATTTAAGATACCACCATGCCATGTACAGGTAGGGAATGGATGACAAATATATAGGCTTACCCCTCCCAGGGGGTATAAAATTAACATTCAATACCCAGTTAATTACTCCAAGTAATGTATTAGTCTAAATATTGTTAGTAATGAACTATTTAAAAATTGTATTTCATGAGGGCTGCCATGCAGACAGAGTAAAACAATGCAATAATAACAAGCGGAAAATTTGTCCATTCTGGAATCAGCTATGTAAAGGCCAAAGCTATCAGACATTAAACTATTATACAAGGAAGTTATTCTTTCCAAGTACTTAATAAAAGCAAAAACTAAATTTAGTTAATGAAGGTGATCACAAAACTACAATTTATCTACATAATTTCCTGTCACCAGAAGGGTCTCCTACAAAACGGAAATCATAGCATAAAGCCTGGCCTAAGATTTTATTTTAAATTGTGATGTACTGCATTAAAAGCTAATATACAATATACTTTTAGACATCTGATCCACAAGAGCTAGTTTTGAGAATTCTGAATTAGTCAACAAGCATAGCCTGAAGGCAACTGTTACAATGCAGGTTGATAAATCTCCAGTGTTAAACATTTTCAAGACTTTTCATATAATACAATTGTACCCCAAAGTGTATGGGGGCTCCTAATTTCTGGAATCAAGATCTAGCATTACACTAATGATTAACCCATGAAAAGATTATATTTCAGATTTTTTTTTTCTCTCCAAAGTTTAATTTTTGGGACAGTGCACAACTTCTTAAAAAATCTACAAGGCTCTACTCTGAGGTGTGCTTAATGGTTCCTTCTTGCCCAAATCTCTTGTGTCATTCTTATGAATGTCAATATTAAGCAGATAGAAAAATTTTATGGTCTTCCTAAACCATAATCTACTCTGGAACAATTTATTAAGCAGGCATACTTTTATACTATTTACAAATAAAAATCAGTGCCTCTACATAAGTGACATTTATGGATATCGAGGTCTGACTGCTATACAATTTCTCTAATTGCTCTATCATTAGAAGATAATGTGAAAATTCCCTTACGTCAAAGCTACATTCCCATCTATGAAGCAAATATACATTTGACCTAATTCTGCCATTTAAGGCAAGATTTACAAGTTTCATACATGACAGGCATTTTCAGGCTTTTAATCATGTCAAAAAGAATCAACTTGAAATGTCAAAGCAGATGGGTAAGGAAAAAATCAAATAAGCAAAGGAAGGATAGCCAAATCCTTGCACCCAGACTTTCATTTAGCATGAAGGCACTTTCTTTGAAGGGTCAGGATTTTAAGATCTTAATACTTTTGACAAAACTTCTTTTACAAGAGCCTTGTCTGTAGACATCTTTGCTTCTTTATTGGGGGACACCTCGTCCCTACCCAGGTCACCAATAGGAACTTTGACCCCCTTGTTTCATCTCGTCTCCGGTCTGGAACAATGCAGTAAAATTGAGAATATTTCATTTCAATTAATTTCCAAGTCATTAAACCCTAAATGGCTTCGATAAATTAAAGTTTACTATCTATAGAAAAAAAAAAAGCCATGAAAATTACTTTTTAAAAGTTACTTTTTTAATGATTAAACAATTTTATACAGCAATGTTGAAAAATCATTAAGCTTTACATCCATTAATATTTTTTTTACAGCTTATTTACTGTAGAGGACAACAGGAAAAGGTTGTATACAGCATAACAAAGGAGGGTATCGTATTCATAAAATTAAACTAGGTAAGCAATTCAGGAAATACTGTATACTAAATAACATGCCTGCAGGCGAATGTATGCAAAAGCTCTCTCATCGTCACCAAACTGTGCTTTAAAGTCATCAAATGTCTCGCCCTTTGCAGACACTATGACTTGGCTCCCATCATACTTGAACACTGCCCTGGAAAAGCAATTTCAAATAAATATTTTAGACATTAAAGAAAGCTGAAAAACCATGTGTTCATATTTTTTTTCAAAAAGTTCCCTGCTTTTATTTATTACAGGTATAACAATTTAAAGAGCCAGAAGTGAAAAGACTTGCCTGTGCATTCTTCCGTGCTGATGCATTAGTGTTTTTAAGATACAATACGACTAAATTAAACTTGCCATATTTTTTAATGAAGCTTATTCTGGACCTGTTACTACTAAAATAATGCTTAACTAACTGAACAGGAATAGCTAAATTAATAATTCCATGGAAATCATTCTTTCTTCTCAGCACTGTCCTTAACACTTACTTTCTTAGAACCACGCTTAAAAAACGAAAATTTGGCCAAATGACTAAAAAGTGTAAGCAAAGCATGAAATGCTCCCACACTGAGGAAAACAGTGCACCGAGTTGGTGGCATTCTGAAGCTCTATCATTATTATTACATGTATAACAGCAAGCGAGCTTCAGTTCCCTAAATTAATAATTATAATATGTAATAAATAATAATACATAACACGTAACAATTCAGAATGCTGCCACTAGTTGGCGCAGTCAATGGCAAAACATCCGGTAAGGGAGTCCACATTTTACATCGCCATGGGGAAGTACTTCTCTCAGCTTGCATTTTTTTTTTTTTTAAAAGCTATTTGGCCAAAATTTTTTCTAACTATGGGTCCTAAGAAAAGTGCAAAAGACAGTGCTGAGAAGAAAAAGAGGACAATTTCCATGGAATTAAAGCAAATTGCGTCAAATTTCAGCAATCAAACAAAAAATTGTATCATCACTAGTCATATTATGGCCTATTTTATTCATTTATAGTACATGTATATCATGTTTCTCTGTTAATTATATTGTTTATTATGTCATATTAGATGAATTTTTGATAGATAAATAAGCTGTAGAGTTACATTGAAATATTTTGTCCCGCTGCTGGGACAGATTAATGGCATTTCAATTAATTTGAGGAAAATTTATTTGATATACAGTGGTACCTTGGGATACAAACTTAGTAATTCGTTCCAGAAGGGTTCGAGTGCTAATACGAACGAATTTGTTCCTATAAGGAATAATGTAAATTAGATTAATCTGTTTCAGACCCCCAAAAACACACTTAAAAAAGCACTTACATAAATACACTTACATAATTGTTCAAGTTTTGAGTTGTTCGTATCTAGAGGTACCATTGTACAAGCAAATTGAGTTATAAGCTAGGTCACGGAATGGATTAAACTAAAGTCAAGGTTCCACTGTATCACCAAAATATTCAAGAAGTTATAAATGCCACTTTGCATCTCAGCCTTCTTTTCTCCAATTTAAAGAGTATATACATGCAAGCATCTCTGTACACATGTACACAGTATTTTGCAAACACTGGCCATTCCCCAAAAATACTAGGGACACCCCAAACCAAATGTTCATCACTCATTCAATGGGGTATCTTGTCAGAATGAGCACAAATAATTCAAATGCCCCCCTAAACTAACATCCTCACCTGTTTCCCACATGTACGCTTTGGGTAACTAGTTTTCCAGAATCCCTCCTGAAATACAGTGGACCCCGACATTCGATAAATCCGAATTCGATGCATTTTAATGCAAAAATTTCGCCCCGACATTCGATGGAAAAACCCAAAAATTCGATACGATTTTGTACGAGACGTGTCCACGTGTGGCCTGAACTGCCCCATGTGTGCCAATGTTTTTCAAGCCCGCCAGTTATGCGGCATCTAAGGATACATTCGGTCATTCCATTTATCACTATTTTTGGGCTTGTTTCTGCAAAATAAGCAACCATAGGGCCCCCAAAAAAGCTTCTAGTGCCAAGCCTTCGAGAAAAAAGGCGCTAATGACTATTAAATGAAGAAAGATAATTGCAAGTACGAAAGTGGAGTGCGTGTGTCGGAGCTGGCCAGGTTGTATGGTAAACCCAAAACAACTATCTCTACTATAGTGAGCAGGAAAAACGGCAATCAAGGAAGCTGTTGTTGCAAAAAAGGGGCAACTTTGTTTTCGAAACAGGTCATAGTGTTGAAGATGTTGAGAGACTGTTAGTGGTGTGGATAAATGAAAAAGAGATAGCAGGAGATAGCATCTCTCAAGCAATCATTTGTGAAAGGCTAAGCAGTTTTCATGATGATTTGGTAAAGAAATTGCCCGCAACTAGTGGTGATGCGAGTGAATTTAAGGCCAGCAAAGGTTGGTTTGAAAGATTTAAGAATCTTAGTGGCATACACAGTGTGGGAAGGCTGGTGAGGCTGCCGTTCGGACCACAAAGCGGCTGAAAAATATGTGCATGAATTCAAGAGTACATAGAGGCTGAAGGACTGAAACCTGAACAGTGTTTAATTGTGACGAAACGGGCCTTTTTTGGAAAAAATTGAAAAAGCGGGGCCTTTTTTACTCAGGGGAAAAAGGGCACCCCCGGGACATAAGCCTATGAAAGAAAAGGGCTTACTCTTTTTATTTTGTCCCAAATGCTAGTGGTGATTCCCAAAGTGAACCCTTTTTTTGGAAAAAAATCACCAAACTCCCAGAGATTCAGGAAAAAAGAATATCCTCAAGGCAAATTTGGGGTTTTGGCTGTGGAGGGGAAAAAGGTTAAGGAAAGGGGCCCACTGGGGGAATTTTTCTATGACTGGTTACACCATGCATTTCCCCCCCACTAAAAAAATTCCCTTAATTGAAAAAAAATTTAAAACCTTTAAAGGGTGCCCCCTTTGGCTTTAGACAATGCCCCCGGTCATCCACAGATTTGGGCAGAGTGACTTTCTGGGGACTTGATTTCTTTAAGGTCAATTTTTTTGGCCCTCCAAATACCACTCCTCTCCTGCGGCCCAGGGACCCCAGGTCATTTCCAATTTCAAAAAAACTGTTACACAAAATCTTTTTTTTCAAAAGTGCTTTGAAATGACCACAAAACTCAACGGGATAAGAGATTTTGGGAAAGGATCCCTTTAACATCCTAAATTTTTGGGTTATAAACCTTATGGGAAAGGGTTTGGGGAAAAGGAAGGGGACTAAGAGGCCCTTGAACTCTGCTTAAAAAAAAAAACTGGCCAAAAAGGGTTTTAGAAAAAAAGGGATTTTAAAAGGGTTTTTTGAGGCTAACCCTGAAAACCCTTTGCCAGTTGGGGAAACCCAAACTGTCGCTTTGGGGGAAGCCCCTTGGGGTTGGAGGTTAGTGGGGGGGGATGTGGAAGATTTGGGGGGAAGCGGGACAATGATGAACAAAACCACGGGTGAGCTGTAGATTTTTAAAACAAAAAAGGGCCCCACACCTGGGGAAAACTGCTTTAGGGGGGGGGGGAATAGAGAAATTGAAAAATTTGCCTACTTCAAAGGAAAGGAAAGGGTGTGCAAAGGGGCCCTTGAATTTCCCAAAACCTTTTTTGATGACAATCACCCAAAATTAAAGCTATTGCAAGCCTGCGGGGTAAATGTTACACGACAATTTTTGTGAACCTTTTTTGGGAAAAAAGTCAAAAAAACGAAGAGAGGTACGGGGCCTCTATGGACGTTGTTGTGCGACAAAAGTCCGTGCAACTGATCCTAGGGGGCATTAAAAAGGAAGGGAATAACCCTAGGAAAGGACTTGCTACCCTAAAGTCCTAATGGAAGGGGTTTCCCCCTTCAAAACTTTAAAAACCATCCCCACACCCCCTCCTCCCTCCCATAAATTCATCACCCAATTCTTCTTAAAAGGGAAAAAGTGTAAATTTAAATTCATTGAAAATTGATCAATTTATTGAATTATTCCATTGCTTAAATTTAATTTTTCATGTGGAAAAAATTTTTTTTTTCATATTTTTGGGGTTGCCCTTGAACGAATTAGTTTGTTTTTTCCATTATTTTTTATGGGGAAAAAATTAATTTGCTTTCAATATTTTCGACATTCGATAGCTCTCAAAAAAAGGGGATTAGTTTAAAATTTTGGGAGGGCCCCACTATGTCCAGTGGTCCCTCGGGATACGAACACTCAAACCCCCCAAATTTTTACAAGTGCTTTGGGAAAGTGTTTTTTTGGGGGGTCTAAAAAGGGAAATTTTTTTCTGATTTAACAAAAAAAAGGCACAATACCATACTGGAACGATAACAAAAAAAAAAAAAAAAAAAAAACCCCGCACACAAAACGAGGGGGTTTTTTACGACAAACGTTAGGTCCGACTTGAACCATTTAAAAAGTCACACTAACAAGTAGAGAGGAAGGGAAACCCTTTAGGCAAGAAAAAAGAAAAAAGAAGTAATAGAAAATAGTTAAAATGAGTAATATGAAATAATAGTAATTGTAGTACTAAGAAAGGGGAGAAACTGAAGGGAGCTGGGTTTGCCCACAGAGGGCAAGAGCAAAAACAAGGGGGAAGGGGGAAAATAAATAATGAAGGAACAAAAACACAAGGCAGAAAAAAGCCCCCCCAAAAGGGAAAAAAAAAAAGGAAAGAGAAAAAAAAGGGAAAAAAAATCTTGTTAGTGGACTTTTAAATGGTCACAATTTTGGGACTGAAACGCCCATCGTAAGCTCCTCTTTTAGTGCGGGTTATTTGTGTAATTGATATAAATTATTCCTTACGGGAACAAAAACATTCAGTATCGGCACTCGAACAGCCCTTTTGGAACAACAAAATTTGTTTTCCCAGGGTACAAAAGGGTTTTTTTCCCCAACCTTTTCCATTATTTCAAGCCATAAAACCTTTTCTTCCCCCAATCTAAAATGGAGAATCCTGCTCCAAAGTTCAACTTTCTAGCACTAAAAAACCTTTTTTGTCACTGCCCACCCCCCTCCCCCACATGAAATTCAACCCCCTTCTATTATCTTAAACCCCCCCCTTTAAAAACCCCAAACCTCAAAAAAAATCCAACCCAAAACTTTAATTATATTTTTTTGGGAAATAATCCCCCAAAAACAAACTTATAATTATACACTCTTTCCCGATGCCTCAATATTCCCCTACACCCCTGCTTCAACTTACATCA